ATGCTCCTTGCTCTCTCACTGGGCTGTCGGAAGGCAGAACAGACATGCTTGTATCCTCCAGTCTCACTGCCATCAGTGTGTAATACTTGGAAATCAATACTTATATCCTTTTATAAAAACATACTTCCAGACTCCAATCAACCCATCATTGGAACATCTACTGCACTCTTTCCTTTTTTTCTCTGTTTCCTAGTCCTTCCTCAAATACTTTTCTTTATGTCCATGTGGCTCTTTAGAAATCTCTTTCAAGGGCTCTCCAGAAACTCCTTCCCTGCGCAGCATCCTCCTCCTCATTTTTTTTTTTTTTTTTCCCAGTAAGATGAACGCAGATACCAAGCCCTTACGATCCTCATCATCGTGTACCTGTGGCATGGGGAAACTTGTGGGAAGAAAAGGGCAGATCAGAGAGCGTTCATTGTGGTTAGGGATGAGGGCATGATGTGAGGGAGAGGTCTTTGGCAGCAGTAAAAAGCAGAATTTTAAAGATTGTGTGCATGCCTCCTAAACAAAACATAAATCTTATCTCCCTGCTGGTTCATATCCATCCTCGTTCATATTTGGGATATTATTGGCTGAGAGCTGAAGCAAAATAGAAATACTTAGTCACAAACAACACATTTAAGAAAAATGCTCACACTTCCTTTGTGATTTTCTGAATGTCTAGTAACATTCTCATATGTGTATCCATGAAGTCTAAATATTGTCTTAAGAGAGTAGATCTTTAAAGTTATCACCCCTAAAACTGGCAATTATGTAAGGGGGTGAAAGGGCCAGCTAGCCTTATTTTGGTAATCATTTTGCAGTATATATGTATATCAAATCATCACATCATACATCTTAAGCTAACATACGTTATATGTCAATAATATCTCAAAAAATCTCAAAAAAAAAAAAACAAAAAATAAACAAAAATATTGCCTTTGTGTAAGCTAGAGCTTCTCAAAATGTTTGCCTGAAATGCCTTACTAAAGAGAAGAGAGTGAAGGCAGACAAGGAATGTGAGACCAAACCTGAAGAAATCTCCTAAATATCTGTGGTTTCTTTAAAGACCTAGGTCTTATCTCGGGAAAAAAATACATATGAATGTTGTCTTTTATGGCATAATCTATCTAAGCTTCTTTTATTATGAAAATGTCTTAAAGTATTCTACTCTCAAATTCTAGAAATATTGAAAGAACAGTGTGTATCATATAAATATTAATCTGTAACCCTAATGAATCCATGTCACTTGCGGTTCACACCCAGAGTTATCTCACACTTCACAAAATGTAGCATAAAATCGCAGGCAAAAAAGAAAACCCACTGAAAAGAAACTCTGTTCTTTTTTTTACCTATTTTTCCTGAAGGATGTTGAAAGGGATCCAATTCATATCTCCACCCAGAAGGACTTATATTCCCTTTTCTTCCCTCCACAAGTAACTCTCCAAAGCATCATCCACTGCCACAGAATATCCCCTCCCTAGCCATTTTTCACACAGCTTTTACTGTCTCTTCCATTAAACTCCTCCTTTCTCAGCTCTTTATTGTATGGATCTGATTAACCATTCTAGCAAAGACCTTCTCCCCATTATCCCTCCTTTCAGTCCAGTCTCTGATACTAGGAACAGGCAAGGATCAGCTGAGGCTGGGTATTAGGATGGTGGAGAAGGGAAAATTGGACCACAAATGATAGCATTCTCATTGGTGGGCAGAGAGAGGGAGGGATATCCCTAAAGATTCCTATGTTAATAATTTATATCCTATCAGATATGGATATAAAAGTAGAGATCTTTTATTCCATACTCTGTATTGATTGCAACTCAGTGTATTTGATTCACATATTACTGGATGTTTAGGGTTTCATATCGATTAACTGACAATCGTTGTCATTGCTGTTGCAATTCAGTCGCAAAGTCATGTCTGACTCTGCAGTCCCATGGACCTGTGGTCCGCCAGGCTCCTCTGTCCATCATTATTACATTCCCTATTTATAAACATGTCCCATGAGTGTGTTAATAGTGATAGGATGCAATATCTCATCCCAAAACTGTGCCTTTTAATATAAATGTAATATTTAAAGAACAGGGTTTTGGAGCCCATGCAAGATTTTAAATGCCTATTCTATTTGATAACACATTTTGTGGAAAATCAGGAAATAACAGACATAGTTCTCTTGATATTACCGTCATTGTATGAGTCGATGTACCTTTTTGACAAATATTGGTTGGCTTCCCACCGTGTCACTTAAAAAACTCAAAATCTTTGTGCTGAGCAAGTGAAACTTTCAAAACGGACACAATGAAAATAAAGCATTGGAATTTGTTTCAAAGTCTTCTTAAGTGTTAACCATGATCAGATTATATCTTATAAGCAGACAAAATACCATTGTTATTTTTCACCCAGTACAAAATTAATCACTGTGTATACCTTTTCATCGGTGTCATATAAACTATTTGTCACTAGATTAAAACAACCAATTAGACTTTTCAATTAGTAGCATTTGTTTCACAGGTATGTTTAGCAGATACCTTCTATCCAAAAGGCTCTAAGATAGGTGTTTGGGGCAGGGAGAATCACTGAAAGATGCCAGGCAAAAAGCTAGCCTTCCAGGATCCTAAAAATGTGTGGAGCTAATAAAACATTCCCACAAATAATTAAATTACTGACTGGGAAGTGTTAAGTGCCCTTAGAGTTTAGAAAAAGTGTTTAGAGAATCTTGAGAAGAGAGGAATAACTTAGAAATGGGGTGATCAAAGAAAGTTCATGAAAGAGGGTGCAGTTGACCTGAGCATCAGTGGATGAGACACATTTGGATATAAAGAAACTCAAAAGTAGGACATTTCAAGAGAAAGGAATCTTAAAAGCAGGGAATGTTAGGTGTGAGATGGTGTTTTTTAGCTGCTGTCCAGGGAAAGGAAACAACAAAACGTTGATTGGAAAGATAGTTTGGATCTTTTTAACACAGTGGGGAGCTTATAGTTCAGAAAGAGATAGGGACTCAACGGCGATGACAAGCAGAGATGTGACACCAGACTCGAGGGTCTGTCAGTGGAGAAGGGACAAAACAGTCTAGGCAGAAGGACAGCATAGATTTGAATGGTCATGGAAAGATGTCCTGGGAACAGTGAGACCTCTGTTATGGCCTGAGTGCATGTGGAATGAGAGAGGCTGCAAGGCAAGGCAAGACAAGAAAGGAAGGTTGCAGACAAATGCCAAGGGAATTATATGCCAAGCTAAGGAGTTTGGTGTTTACCTTCTGCAGACACAAGAGCTGATGAAGAGTTTGTAAGATAACTCTGTGGGCAGGGTGGAGCCTAGGCTAACAGAGGTCGGCTGGCTTTTACTATACAGGGCCAGATCATAAATATTTTAGACTTTGTGAACCATGTATGATCTCTGCTGGGTATTCTTGTTCTTTCCTTTTCTCTTTCTTAAATTCTTTCTTGCCTTTACTCATAAGTTTTTTCCTTCCCTTCCTCCTTTTCAAAAAAAATCCTTTTTTTTTAAATAATTTTAAATAAAAGACAAATGCCTTAAAAAAATGGCCTGAAGGCCGCCAGAAAACAAAAACAAAGCCTTTTTTAAAATTGTAAAAACCATTCTCCTCTCCTTTGGCCCTCTGGAAGTGAAATGACAGAAGTAGCAGATAGAAATCGGACACAGGCTATTGTGAAGAAGGTCTGGTCTAAGCGGTGGTGATAGAGATAATGGTGAGGAGATGCATGGGGATGGGTCTGAAGCAGAATTAGTTTCAGCAGTTGCTTGACGATGGGGAATTAGGAAGAAAAGGGAAAATCAAGTATGATTCTGAGGCTTCTTGCTTGAGAGACTAGGTATTAACTTCTCACCAAGACTATGCTTGTCCCACCAAGACTTTGCTCTTATCAAAACTGCAGGGAGTTTTGAGAGAAGATGGATTCAGTTTTGAAGCTGCAGAGATCGATGTATCTGTGGGTCACTCAGAAAAAGGGTGTCTGGGGACAGCTGGCTCCGTGGGTCTCAGGCCACGTTTCCTCCCATCCAGACCATGCACCTCACGGAGAGCCTGTGAGGCAATAGGTCAGAAAGTATGGAGCGTCGTGAGAGTCTACAGAAGAGGAAAGAGCTGGTCCTGAGGAAGCTCAGACTGGCCCCAGGATTTGGGATGTTGGAGAGGCTGAGAGTGGTACCTGGGAAGACCAGGTAGAGAGCTCTTGTGATCATCATCTAAGAAAGAGGGAGTAGTATCTCAGATTGAGTGATGACAGTGGGACAGAGAAGGCAACAGCTGGGGGTGACAGCACGGGGCAGAACCTTGAGGACTTGGCAGTGTGTGCACGGGAAAGAGGCCTTCTGTGAGCACTGTCCTCGAATTCCCGTGTCTTGGGATAATGCCCCCTCTAGTCTTTCTTCTTCTAGGTCTTGTCTTAGAAACCTAGCTAAGTGACTGAAGCCCACAGAGCATATAATCTGACTCCTTTCATAGCTTTCCATTTTTGCAAATGTCCCCTTTTAGAATACAGTAAAGGATGGCCATGTGCCATCTTGCAAAACCCTTCACATAATCTCCATTCACAGAAAAGGGAAATGTCAAAAAAAAAAAAAGAACACTTGGTAAAAGAGTTCTTTAAAAAGATTTAAGATTTTGGAACTAGGTTACATCCTAACCAAGGACTTTAAAATTGTCTAAGTCTAGAGTACGCTACCAATCAAGGTGAACTTGCATGTCATCAGCTTCCCTGCAATGTGTCACAGTGGATCTCAACAGTCGCTCGTGACCTTATTTAGCTCCTCTTCCTTGCAAGTTTGAGTGCCATTGAGAAATGGTAACTCTGTACACATGTCTTCCCAGTGCATTTAGCTGCTGTATTAAAACACATATATAATCACCTCTGTCCACAGTGCACTCACTCTAACACTCAAGATGCTTGGAGGTTAGACTAGAAAGGGCACAACACCGTTTTTTTGTCTGTTTGGCAATTAACCATTCACTGGCTTTTTTTGTTGTAACATGCACTTCCTTTCTCTTGTTTTCGTTCAAGCTGTGTACGCCATGGAAATTAATGTGGAGAAAGACAAACAAACAGGAGAGACCAAGACTCTCTCTACATCCACCATTGGCCCAGAGGGGGTCCATCAGAGAGGAGTCAAAGTCTTTGATGATGGTACCAAAGTAGTGTATGAGGTGCACTCAGGAGGCACCATAGTAGAAAACGGAGTGCACACATTAAGCTCAAAGGATGTAGAAGAGCTTATTCAGAAAGCTGGACAATCAAGCTTAAGAGGAGGGCACGTGTCAGAAAGGACTGGGATTGCAGATGGGAGCCTCAGCCACCCTAAGGAACACATGCTCTGCAAAGAAGCCAAGTTAGAAATGGTCCATAAGTCTAGGAAAGATCATTCTTCTGGGAACCCAGGGCAGCAGGCTCCAGCCCCCAGCACTGAAGGGCCGGAGGCAAACTTGGATCAGCCAGTCACCATGATTTTCATGGGCTACCAAAATATCGAGGATGAAGAGGAGACGAAGAAGGTGCTAGGCTATGATGAAACCATCAAGGCTGAGTTGGTCCTCATTGACGAAGATGATGAGAAGTCGTTGAGGGAGAAGACGGTGACAGACGTGTCCACCATTGATGGGAATGCAGCCGAGCTGGTGTCCGGGAGACCCATCTCAGACACCACTGAGACACCCTCATCCCCTGAAGGGAAGGAAGAAAGCTTGGCCACGGAGCCAGCCCCAGGTACCCAAAAGAAAAAGCGCTGTCAATGCTGTGTTGTCATGTGACCACTTCTTTCTTCCCCTTTCTTCCGGGCAGCCTCTGTGCTCTCCACCACTTACGTAGACCTCACTGTACCACTAACTGCGATACTGTGAACTGGAAGCAAACACCTGCCTTGCCTTGCAGTTGGATTGCTTTGATCCCTCTTATTTTTTTCCCCTTTCGTTTTTTTCTCCAGTTTCCTCAGCTCAGAGACAACATGCATGTGTGTGCTTCACTCTTTCCAAGAACTTGCTTTTCCTCTAAACTTTTCCTTGTGTCTTCAAGAGGGAATCGGTTCCTTACTGCTCGATTGGAATGGACTCTTCATATCAGCCAGTGATCTCGTAGCCTTAATTCATTTGACTGGAATTGAACCCGTGGGCACCAGGGGAATCATTTTGTCGTGTTCCTATCATGTAGTCACACATCGCCAGGTCGCTGATTTCTCACTTGCCTCCCTTACTGTGGATCTTTGCTTTTATATCTTATGTGGCAAAATGCTGTGGGGTCTAGCCAGACACTGGTATAGCCAAAAGTGGACCTTACTTAGTCTGTTCGATCTAGGGTGATGCTTTTTGCTGCCTTACATAAGCTTCCAGGTTACAGTATTGTGCATCTCTGGCTTTCCTTCTGTTAAAACTGAAATGAAGTTGATGTAAAAGAAAAAGAACCCAGTGCTTATTACAGCTGAATTATAGGGACTAATTTCATAACCTGCCCATCAGCAGCTGTCTCTCTTTCTTATGACTTAACTGATGGACCCTTTATATAAGAAACACCATTTTTAACTTTCTAAGGACATGAAACAAGCATTGTTTTGAGGATCAGTAGTGATCTCCAAACTTAGGCAAATCCTTGAACCTTGCTTTTATTCTCTAAAAAAAAAGTGTAAATTTTTGTATTGTTTTCTTTTTCATGGATATATTCTGGTCAGTTAATCTGTTTTCAGTGAAGTGGTCATTTTGAGAAGTTTCTCTGTAGTGACCATACTTCTAAAACAGGCCTTCTGACCTACAGTGGTTGCTGGCATGCTTCCGGTCCATCCATTGTGGACGGTGCTGTTCCTAAATTAACTGTTCATTCACCTGCCCTGTTGATTCCAGAGCTTTCCATCTGGACTCTTTTCTTTATGTCCCTACGAAAAAGAGAATATTACCTATACCTTCACCGTGTAGGTTTATCCACCCTGCAAAATTAAACTTTAAAATGTAGGGGGGGAAAAAAGGTTTCAAAGATGAAGAAAGACCTCTCTTATCACTTTAAGTACTTTGAATTCATTCCATAAATACTGATGGAGTGAGTGGCACATAATTGAGCTTCTTCAATATTGTTTTCTCAACTTATAAAGATTCCAGAACATCAAGGGTGGTTTTTATCTAGAACACAATGAACAGTTCTTTAAATTCTTAGCATTTCTCCCAAAGCAAATAGCCACAGCTATAAAAGAACCAAAGGGAAGCAATATAATAAAATAATAATAGAGCAATGAAATAAAGCTGTAGCATTTGAATTGATTTTAAAACAAATATATCTTTTAAGTTTTTTGCCAAATGTTCTTAGTATTGTTGCAGATAATTCACAAATTTATCCACGTTCCATAGGACATAAATTTTAAAAATATATGATAAGATGTACTAGATCAAGTTCAACTTCCATGAAAAGTATTGAGAGGAGGCAAAAGCAAAGTGACCTGGAGAGAATTTTATTACAAAACCAACTCAATTTGTCCTAAATAGCTTTCTTAGTGCTAAATTTATTATTTTTAATATATTGGCTTAGAAATTGTACTTACTCCAGTTAGAAGGGGGAAAAACAATATTTTTTAGTTTTCGAACAATTACACTTAACGAGCACAAAATAAGTCATTTGATCACCAATATGTAAACCAAAAAAAGTTTAAAAAGGGAAAAATTAATGAGCTAAGTTCTACTTTCTAAGGTGATTCCATCCATGGCTTGATTTTGAACAGCTGAGGGAATTCTCTCTAAATCTCAGGTTTAGCAAAGCAGCTGTTTTTGAATAAAACTGCTCTATTATCTAGAAATAATATCTGGTTTTGCTGCCTATAAACCTCACTACTTTCAGCTTCATGCTCCTCAGTAAATGCTTGTTTAAGCATCATTTTAAAACTTAGAAGACAAGCCAGAGAAACCTATTAGAAAAAGAAAGCAGCTTCAATGTTTTGGACAATCTCTGATTTTAATAATTTATTTAGAAATAAATAATATAAAAGTTTCCCATCTATTTTTTTTTTCCTCACTTGAGGATGAAAACTATTCCATATGAGTTTTTAAAAGCACAGTTAGTGAGTGAAATGATAGAATTTAGCCTTGGGCGTGTTGTTTGATAAACAGAACCAGAGTCTCTCAGGACAGCTGATTCCCTGATCTGAACTAAGCTTCCATCAGTGAGTTAGTTTTTCATGAAGAAAATTTTCTGTACCTCTCACTACACCACCACACATGAGATCTAACAGACCAGTGATATTCTGTGCTCTCATTTATTGATAATTAGTGTAGGGGTTAGCAGATTATATGAATTAAAGCTCATTCTCTGCTTTTACTAGGGAAACTTATGATTTAAATGGTTTTTCAAGTAAGATGTGTTACCTTTATGAAAAATGATGTGTGGCCACAAAAAATGAAGATGTGTTTGAATATGGCATATATATTTGTATAGCTTGCCTTGTTTTCCTATCACAGTGGGGGATTCAGAGTCAGCCAGTTCTTTAATGGGATGAGACCTGTAATCGCATCTACAGCAAAAAGGAACTATCTTTCATAGTGAAGATATAAACAGAATTGTGACTGTGAACATTCTACCTTTCCTGCTGGTGCTGGCATTGTCTCTGTAAAAACTTCATGATGTATGGCATCATGCCCTTCAAAAATTCAGGGTGTTGACCTACATCACCAGGCTAATTAGAGAATCAGAAAGAAAGCTATCAATACAAAACCATGGTCATTTTTGAGGTCATAGTTGGACTTTCTTTCCAAATCATAGACTCAGAACCCTTTTAAATGGGAAGAGGGAAAGGAGGGACATTTCATTTACTTATAAATAGATTCTCAATGGCATGAAATTAAAAGATTCTTTTAGAGTTAAAATGGTAAACATAAATCTTGCATATCCTGAAAAATTGTGGTGACTTGTATACCTTTGACTTGTTTTTTCCTTTTGATGTGCAACAGGACAAAAGGAAGGGGATTTTCTTTTTTCACTCTGTGCTTTATTTACTTACAATTATATTATTTTCCTTATATAAGCAAAATTAGTTGCCTCTAAAAGTGATTTGACAGTGTCCAGTAATGTCACTTAATATTGGAGTAAAGAGGACAAGACACTAGGAATTCCTCTGTGGCCAAACCCCAATCATGGTTTCCTAAAACTATCCAAAGGCTTTCAGAAAACACAAACAAATTCTAGAGTTGAGTTGATTTGACTCTGAAATGTTAACGACATGTATCAGCTTCTGATTCCCACCTAGTCCATTTTACTTTTTCTGGCAATAAATGTGTTTTTCCTAAGTGCAAGGAAACTTTTATTTGGTTAGGGGTAAGTTTTTATCAAAGGGGGAAAATATCTCTATATAATTTCCTAGAGATACAATATCATCTCTGGAGCAAAACGTTGAGGCCAAGTCTGAAAACAGCTTATTTCTTTTCACTCCGTTCAGAATTTCATTTCAAGGGACCATAGAACAGCCTTGATGATGACCATTTATTTAATGCCAGTGAACCAGTGGGTAGCGAAAGAGGTGGCATATACGGTGACAGAGGCAAAAACTGAATCACTAAACCAGTTCTTCCTTTAAAAAAGATAATAACTCTGTCCGTGTAAAACACAGATGAACACAGGCAAAGTACGCATGGAGGACTTACTTTTGTTCTCTCTTAAAATCTAGAAGCTCAGCCATCTCTGTTTGTTAACAGACCCACCTGTGGAGTTCATCCCACCAAAGGGCCCATACCTTGTGGGAATATTCTGATCTGCAATGTTACTTTGTTTACAACAAAAACCATTCCAAGGCAAGAACAGTTTTATGTTGTACTTTTGCAGTGTGCACATTCATCATTGAAACCAAGAATTCTCAGCACGGTTAAAAGATAAGTTTCAGAAACTCTGTAGATACGTAATCTTTTAGAAGCTCCTCAATTTATTAATCAAGGTATGCGTAGCTCTGCTGATGAGGATAGAACCAGAAAGCGTCTCTTGTGCTATTGGATAGTATTATTATGACCCAGCGCATACATGGAATGATGTTATATATCACAAAACAATTCCAAGTACTGAGCAGGATGAGATCTTGGATTCCTGGGACCAGTTCATCTTCATTGTGAAGACCTCTTCTGGTCTCATCAGGAAAACTTCCCTGCATTTTCTTGGGAAAAAGAAAAGTCCGTCTTTTATGAGGAGCACAATGCTGTTATATATCTGTATTTTCATAGCTTCAGCAAACTCCATAATATAATCCCCATTTTAATATAAACCAAAATACTTATTATTTGAATGTAGAAAGGCTAGAATAAAAATTACATCCTGAAAGTTTCCAGGGGTAATTTCCCTGGGGAATCCTTGAATCAGCCTCATCCTACCACCCCTTAATTTTTGTATGACTTAAATAGGCCTCTGTGTCCCCTCTCCACACCAGTCTAAAAGGTCTGAACTGTAGCACAAAAAACTTGCTGTCAGTGTGAAAATACCATATGTATTTTGGGGGGGACCACAGACTTTCTGCATCAAAGATCTGGGCAGCCTTAACTTTTATAAAAGAATTTTCAATGCTCTCTTTTACTAAGCAGGGAAACAAAATGTTTCCTGAAATTAATGACTTTTTTATATTTTGTGACTATTTTCTAAGTTTCTACAGGTTCATCTTTTCCCCATATTGCCTCTTACTAGTCACCTGGGGCTATTTTTTGCAAGTCATTGCATTTTTATCAAAAGAAAAGTACATCTCATGAACCACAAAATTCCCTCTAGACTTCAGGCAGTCCTTCTGGAGTAAAAGAACAGAAACACAGAAAGAAATGAATGACAGGGTGGCTTTTGTGTTCCTATGGTTAATGTACTGTATGGTATATATGTTTACAGAATGTATCTGCCTTGTGATGTTAACAAAATGAATGACAAAAAAAAAAATGAGTTCTGATGTGCCATTTGAAAGTTTGCCTTAGCATCGCTGTTATGTTCTTTTCTGTCCTTTCAAAATCACAGGTTGTATTCCAAAGCTGTATGAGCACAACATTCTCTTCCCCACCCCTACCCAGCCCTTCTTTAGAGCTGTGAATTTCCTCCCAGGAGCCTGAGGCAGAACCTTGTAGTTCTGACCCAGAGGGAATAAAGTAGGCGGAGCTTGGGCGTTGCTTCTGCCCTTCTACTAGTCAAAGACTTCCCTGTGTTCCCATCTGAGCCTGCAGGCTCCCACTCTGACATTCCTGGGGTGGGCCTCATGCAAGGTGTGACCTCCTGCAGTCCTTCCCGCCTTAAGGGAGGTGAACTTGTGGACCCTCCACCTAGATCTGGGCACATGTTTCTAAGCACAATTGGCATAGCTTCAAAAAGCAAAGCGAATGAGATGGGCTCACATGCTGTGATTGAGCCTTCCCTGAGGGGTGTGCCATTCGTTGTAGTCTAAGACGAGTGGCCTGGTATAGAGGGGAGTAGGGAGTGGTTATAGAAATGGAATAGTTTATGTTTATTTATTTTTTTAAGGAAAAATATTTTTATAATGAAATCTAGATGAGTTATGAAGCTTGACTTTGAAAACACCCTTGATTAAGTTATTTCTCTATTCCATTAAGGTAACTTTCTGCTGAGCTTTATTAACACTCGCCCAGACCTTGGGAGGCATGAGCAGAGGTCCTGTGACCTGCCCCTACACCAGCAGATCTAGGTTGTACGATCAAACTTTCTATACCTGTCATTAGATAACCTGTTATATAGCTTGATAGCTCTCTGGGCCACACCTTTAATAACGTAGAGTGATCTTTTGGAAGGAGATAGCTGTTTTAAATGAAAGCCAAGCCCAGCAATTATCAAAGTCTAACTCATGTATTTAAGGAGTAATTGAGACTTGTGAGGTTAAGGGACCACTTATAATATTATGGTACATTTGAGTTATTTATATGAAATGGTGACTCAGAGGCATCTGGCCATTTGCATATTGTACACAATATACATGAATGTATAAACCAACAACATGAAACTTACCAAATGTTATTGGCCTTGTAAATATCAACGGGGCTGCATCTTATTTCCAGAGTTAAGTAGAGACTGGAAAGGATTATCCTTATCCATCCACAAAGGAGATACTGAATTTTTAGAGTTCTTGGATTTTTTCCTTAATTTTCTACCAAGTTCTTGAGTTCCCATCACAGTCATACTCAGGCTCATGAATATCTTCACCCACACCTGTTCCACTGTCTGACTCACACCAGAGGTCAGAGGTCAAGCCTCAGCATCTGCTCTTTCTCCTCTTAGACTCTTCTCCCAGGAAGCATCCTTTCCTAGGATGGGGTCATTTTCTGCTACCCTAAAAGACCAAGATCCTTTTTTTTCCAATAAGGCAGAGTCCTAAACACTCTCCTTTTCAAGAAAAATAGCCTCTCTGGTTCCCAGACAAATCATTTTAGTTTCTTCATCGTCAGAATCCCTCCAACAGGCCCAACTCAAGTCCAGCTGTGAACCATACTGTCATGACAACAACTCCAGAAATGAAAGAGCTATGTAACTGCCTGAGGGTGGTAGGGAGAGCCAGTGTGCCCTGAGCCTCTTGTTACTATGGGAACCTCTCAGTTTCAAGATGAGGTGGTCAGGGAGACATTCAGTCACTTGGTTGTGCAACATGTCTTTATGCACGAAGAGGCCACCAGGCAAGGCCTGATCTCAACTATTCTTTGTGCAGCTCCAACTCCAATTCTGGGACATCCCATTCTGGTCGTTGGAAAGAGTTCTCTCCTTGGTGGAGTCCTGGAACATTCATTCCTCCTCTCAAGCTCCTGACTTAATCCCATCACACAGGGGTTCGAGAAAATGTTGTGTCTGCGGCAGCTTTTCAATGAATGTAGGTTGTTGATTGGAATGTTCAGCTTTAGCAGCTCACTCGTGGTGAGTGACATCTCTGTAAATATATCCATTTTGTGGTTGGTTGGGGGTGGGATGGGTGGGGCGGGAGACTGTCGTGCATACTCTGAACTAGACTTTCTGGACTAGCTGCTGTACTTTGTAACCTGAAGTGTACTTTGACTGTCCTGTCTCCTTCAGATGAAAAACAAAACAAAAGCTGACTTCAGAAATAACACTGCCAGCGACAGCCGATGCTGTACTTGTAGCTTCTCTCTGTTCCTCTGTACAGTGTTAATAGACAATAAACTGCCTTTTCACTGCATCTACCTCTGTGTCTGTGCCCACATTCTTTCCCCCTTCTCACCTGCCACGTGCGGACTTCAGGCCAGACCTCGTGGGGAGCACCTCCGACCGTTCACTAAAACTCCACGCTAATCCAGTGCTTTTCAAACCTAAACCTGCTTCAGCATCACCCGGTGGCATCTGCTAAGAACGTGGAAGCTCAGCCACACCTCAGGGACTCGAGTTCAGATTCTGGGGTGGGGCCCAGTAGCCTGCCTGTTTAGTGATGTCTCCAGGCGATTCTGATACACACTCCATCTAACCCAGCCGTGTGTTTTGGGACCTCTCCGTGGGAATCCCGTAGCCTGCCTGTTCCAGCTGGTTTCCACATTAACTAATCCTCTCTCTAACCCCTTTTTGCACATCTGTCTCCACACCTGTCTCCCCTGGTCTTGTTTCTTACAAGCCCTCAGCAGTGGCACTGACTTTGATCCCATGGGTCAAACTCGCTCTCCCTCTTAGTTTAAGTGGGAAGTGTCCATCCAGTGCAGTCTTCTAAACAGGAGCCTCTTAAGACACCTGCAGACTTTGTTTCTCTTCTTTAGTGCTGTGTCCTCTTTCTCTAGAATAGAGTCAGCAAACTTTTCATGTCAATGGCAAGAGAGTAAATACTTTTGGCTTTGTGGGTCACTTGACTTTCGTCACAACTACTCAGCTCTACCAGGAAACAGCCATACACAACGTGTAAGTGAATGAATGTAGCTATGTTGCATAAGCTTTATCTACCAAAACAGACTGGGGGCCAGATTTGGCCCTCAGGCAGGTAGTTTGCTGACCCTGGTCTCAGACAGAGCCTGGCACATAGTAGGTACTCACTGAAAAGTTAAAAAGTTATTGTGTGAAAGAATGAACAAAGGACAGGTATGATGACACCTGCAGAACTGTCACAATTGTTTTCTTTGAGGCTATGAAATAAACAAAATTTGTTGGGGAGTTCTCATCTGTTGGGTTTTGTGGTAGATTTTTCTTTTTCTTTTTTTTTGTGTGTGTGTCTTTATGCCTGGAAAGTAACTCAGGATTGAAACTGGAATGGTGCCGCAGACTACCACGCTGAAATTAACAAGAGTTTCAGCCAATAGAAAGTTAAAGAAATGCAAGGCACTCTTGTCCTTGTTGAAAGCGCACCGGGCGTATGAGATCTGGGTGGTCCCTGAGCATCTGTGCATTTGATCTTAGTGTTTGTGGAACCACATCTTATCTAGTCTATCCTCCACAGTGAATGGCAAGGGTTTCTTGACATTATTCTTTTTGTTAATTGAAATACTTGTTAAACAAAAGGCTGGAACCACAGTAGACCATTATTCACCCCCCAACTCTAGGGCATATCCACAGTGACATGCTGAGTAGTGGGTGAAAAGCTGTGTGCTGATATCCATTTCCCAGTGTTGTTGTGACTTAAGGGAAGTTATATTTACACAAGGCACTCTGTAAGCTGGAAGTGGATAACGAATGAACTCTACTTGTGATGAGAAAGTGTCTGTTCCTCTACTAAAGATCTTTTCTCAAATGTAAACATAATAAACTGGTCAGATGTGTTTCAGAACCAGTGTGAAAAGGAAGCTGCTTTTCCTGCATTGGGTTTGTGACATATTATATTGAACCATATGAAGTCGCCATTTAATAAATCAATAATGTGGAATAGTGACAGTTCCATATAATTCAATCTAATCACTCTTTTTGATTCAGAGATCATTTCCCATCATGGAGGGCAAAAGATCAGCAAATAAACTCTAATTATAGCAGGAGGAATTTAGATGAGGAAAGAACTTTGGAAGGGAACATTGTTCTGTACTTAAAACTAGGCATTTCCCCTGGATAGGTAGGATTTCCTTTAATCTAACGTCGACCTTTTGAGGTAGACATTGCTAATATTCTCTGTAATACATGAGGAAACTGAGTCAAGGAGACAGTTTGTTGCTCAATATAGCAGAGCTAAAAATTAGAATGGAAATTGGGGAACAAGTTTCAGGCTCAGCTATCTTCCACATAGAAGGCTCTTGTTATGAGAGTGGTGTGGGGATACAGCTGAAACTGGATACAGAAAGATTTGGGTAACAGAGCCATCTATACCCCCCCCCCCAAAAAAAAAAGACAAAAATGGCACCAGTCCTTATTTTGTACCTTTATCTACTCAGGCAAAGGCTCAGTAATAACACTGCCCTCTGGAGGATGGGAGGTGTCTATGCAGCACTTCCTTCCCAAAAGAAAAGCAATCATGCTTTATCTGTTCCTCTACGTGATTGTTTGGAGTCCTGTTGTTCTGCTTGACATTTTTCCTTCCCCATTCATAAAAAGAATTAACAAAATTTAAAATCTAGGAGTGGCACGTCCATTTTCAAATAAGCAAAGGAGGTTTTGTTGTTGTTGTTAATATTGTTATTATTTTGCCCCTGTTGTAAGAGCTTGGAGGAACAGTGTTCTATGGCACCGTGCAAATACCTCTTGTATCAGAAGGCTGATACATCAGCCTTCTGCAACCACCAATAGAACATACTGTCTCCCTAACAACCCAGATCCTCTCCCGTTTTTCTCAAACAGTGTCAAATCCTCCACTATACAGGCATCACACAAAAGCCTAAGTTTGCTATTTAGAACTCAAGGCTATGAGAGCTCAGATTGATCATCTAATGCAGAAGTCATTAAATGGTTAGCCACTGGCTGAATCTGAGGCTATGTTGGTTATAACCTGTGGTTATGTTGGTTCTGCCTGCATCATGTTTTAAAACCATTTTTAATTCACTGCCAATAATGATAAGTTAAGAGAAGTGTCATTTCAGAGATGGATTTCCAGCTTCTCTTGACATTTCAGAGGCTCTGTATGGTTGCATGGGCCTCTTTTCCTGGCTGACAGATATCTGGAGCTGATGGTAGCTGCAGTCACACTCTCTTGCTCACCATCCCCACCCCTCCTTCCTATTACCTTACTCTTGGCCAGTTTCCTTTGTTTATATTACCTGCCTGGCGCTTGTTGGTGTATGGTAGATTAGGGAATCTACCATAACCTACTCATTTTATGGCTGGCTCCCAGATGAGACTTACCTAAAGAGAGATGGCAGAGCCAGAATCAGATATGAACTTCTGAACTCCTTTGGAAAAATAAGTTTTGCACTAGGTTTGGATTTGAATTAGATGGAAACATTTAAAAATTTTGAACAGCCCACAAGCAGAAAGCCAATATCAGAATTTGATGCTTGTACTTTTACCAGAAGGACCCACATGACTTATAATAATAGATTATCCCAAGGCTGGTAAACTCATTTACCACGCAAGAGGAAAAAAAATTCATTTCCTATGACAACTTCTAGTATATAGATGATTTTACTCTCTGTTTCTTTGGTTAAATGAATCATGTCATGTTTTAAGAACTTTGTGACATCATGTCTTATGGTTGAAAGTTGCATTCATGAAAAATAAACAAAAAATTGTTGTAGTCAACAACCATTGACTATTTCTGGGGTTTTGTATCCCTTGCTAGGAAAAAGTAACAAGATGCAAAGGCCATATGTGTTTAAATTTAAATGTGATTTTCTTTTCCCTCCTAATCCTTAAATCTCTTATTGTGCTCCTGAGGTCATGTGGTCACAGAATAGTAATCGTCTTTCACTTTCACTTTCTTATCTTACTAAGAGTAATAATCAGTAGAAAATTTGACATTTCAAAGACCTGATGAAATATGGATCTTTTCTCTCATAGCTTGTCATCAAAAATCAATGTGATCTAGTATTTTCTTTTGAATATTAGATGATAAATGACATTGTCCAACTTTTTTTTTCCCACTTCTGAGTCACCAAGTATAGAAAATCTGAGCAGCAGACTTATCCTTTTAAGGCCAGGATTCTTAGGTCAACCCAAGGACATCCCAGAGGTGACCTAAATCCTGTAGTCAGTGTGAATTGTTCATCCATCAGAGTATGCAGACTCATATTCTTTCTCTTAAAGAGCTTATTTCAAACCAGAGTGCAAGGAGCAATTCAGTCATTTCTTCTTTCTCTGGAAGACTGACCAAATATTCACTCTATTCAGAGGCATGATGAGATGCTGCCTCATACTTTAGCTCAATTTTTCCTAAACTTGGACTTTGGTATCACCTTAATTATTTCTGTCCTCTGTGTGTACCACCTGTGGACCATCATTTACTCTTTTAACCCCTTTTTTTTTACTTAAAAGGTAACTTTGTCACCCTACCATAAGTAAGTAGCTGGGGTTCAGACAGTAAAGAATCTGCCTACAATGCAGGAGACCTGGGTTTGATCCCTGGGTCAGGAAGATCCCCTGAAGAAGGGCATGGGAACCCACTCCAGTATTCTTACCCAGAGAATCCCATGGACAGAGGAGCCTTGCGGGCTGCAGTCCATGGGGCTACAAAGAGTTGGACTCGTCTGAGCGACTAATGCGTATCTCATGCCATAAAAGCAACTGTTGAAATAAATGTAAATCAGCATTATTAAGTTTCAGCTGCACACAGTTGCCTAAGAACATATACAGTTACCTGAGACCAACTCTTTCATTGTTAAAGAGAGGAATAGCCAGATTAGAGACTATACCCCCATCTGTTTGATATAATCGTATGGCATGAAAGATCATGAAAACCATAATCATTGTCTCACTGTGTGGTTCAGTGTTGATTAATGCCATCTCATATACCCCTTTGGAGGGCATGGCAACCCACTCTGGTATTCTTGCCTGGACAATCCCAGGGACAGAGGAGCCTGGTTGGCTAAGAGGGTTGCAAAGAGTCCTACATGACTGAAGTGATGCGGCACACAATACCTCTAAAAT